TTTTCTGCTGAACAGACCCGCGGGATCCCGTGATCGGGATCCCCGCTAAAAAGGATATCGTTTATCACGATGATCCCCCCTCAGTCTTGTTTTGCGATCGTCTGCCCGCGAAAAATTTAGTTCTCCTCGTGGTTCTGATCAATGAACCTTTCCAGGAACTTTTATATAAGTTTCTCTCTTCCTTTTCTCTTCTCCCCTTCTCTCCTCCCCTTCTATTTTTTCTCTCTTTGGTTTATCGAGTGTATTTAGTGGAATAATTCGATTTAATGGAAATATTAATTTCTACGTGTTAAATTGCAGTTATAGACGAATGTAATGCATAAATTGATTGACTTCTATGTGAAAATCGACGTAATATTAGTGGTGTGTTTATTTTGAATAGAATATGGGAATAAATTAAATGGTAAAATATAATTTGTTGATGGAGTTTCGTAATAATCGTGATTAATAACCAGTTATTGACGCATTAAGCGTATTATAATAATATAATTAATGAATATAAAAGTATATAAAAGATATTAAATTATAAGAAATTTAATATATTTAATTAACATATAAATGCTTTGATATAAATACAATGATGTATACATAGAAAAGTTGAAACAAATTTCATCAGAAAGAAAAGAATTCAACGAAAAAAAGCATATTTTAATAATTTACAAGTCACTAATGATTTATAATAAAATAAACAATTTTTACAATTTATCCTACACAACTAACAAAATCATAAAATTAAAAATAAAACTTCGAAACAAACTCCACGAATATTTCACGTATACATCTCATATTTTTCAACAACGAGAAAGCAAAACAGATAATAAAGATAGCTCCACGGTGAACATTAACAGTTCCGGAACGAAATTCCATCGAACCGTAAAGATGTCCATGTTTAGGGCATATGCCCGGTTTCCGGGCATGGGCGCGCTTCCGCAAAGCGTCCCTCGGCTTACTAGGATAGAGTTTTCTCGGCTCAATGATACCGCACCCAAAGATTTCATGGATTCGTCGAACTCGCATATTTTTCGATCCTCTTTGCTTTCTGCCCCGCTTTTTGAACTCCTTCCCTCTTACCATCCTCCCCAAGAAGAAACTCGCTGCGTGTATACAGAGTGTTCCAGATTTAAGGTGCCAAACCTTGCCAATATCATTCTAAGTAAGTAAAAAATATTATAGATAGTTTAATGCTTTGTTAAAAAATTGTGAACAAAAATTCGAAAGCAATAATTAAACGATATTTATACATATATATAGTTTTATGCGAGTTGTATTTATTTTTCTCAGTCATTAAATCAATAATAATTATTAATATTTTTTTCCAATTCCACATTTTTATTTATGAATTTTTTTTACAAATCGTGAACTTTATATTTACACAAGATGTTTGTATTTATTTAAATCCATAGAATATATATTGACAATATATGAATATATTGACAAAAGTTTGATACTTTAAACGTGGATCACCCTGTATAAGTAAGGATGATCGCTTGGTGGCTGTCTATGGTCCAAGGTTGTATACGCGTTCTGGAGGATGTGTATCGGGGAATGGGTAAAGAGGGAGGTTAGCGGTGGAAGGTATCGCAATGCTTGGAATGTTTAATACCGACGCAACGACACGGCACGGAGAAATGGCCGACTTCAGCCACGGAATAAATCTCGTGGAATCATACCTACCTGACGCCATTTCTTGTCTGCCAGCGAATCCCCACTTGAAAATTTTTCAGACTGCTGCTCGAGCGAAAACGCTTATTGCGACCCGATGCAAGACCCACCCCCTTTGTTCTACTATCTTCGCGCGATTTTCGGATAATTCTAGTGATTTTGGAGTTCCTGCGTTTCACTGTGAGATAAAATTGAAAAGTAGAAGTAGAAATAGAATTTTTTAATATAATATTCAATGGCAGGTTGAATAATAATATATCGTGAACGAGGGTTGATTAGAAATAATGGAATTGATTAGTAGTTTTTGAAAAAGATTTTTTATATATTGTATATATTTTTCTATAGAGTTTCTTAATTTATGAGGCATAATAATGTATCTGAATCATGCTCAAAGATTAGTATATAATTAGATTCAATATTTATCAAGTCTTTGAAATGAGTATCTTGAATGGTGAAGAGATTGAGGCTAATATCTAACTTATATTTTGTTTCTCACAATGATGTTTTATTTAAGGATTGAATTAATTTTTTAAAACAAGATAAGTTAATAGATATTCGTTTCTTTGATTAAGTTGTTTTGAATTAATCAAAATACAGCAATGAAACAAAAATTTCACGACGCCCATTCCCCATTCCTGGCACTCGTATCGTCACAGATTTAATCTTCCAACAATGCCAAGTGTCCTCTTTTTCTTCTTCTATCTGTCTTTCAAAAAGTCTGGAAAAAGAAAGGAATAAAGCCTCGAAAACATATCCTCCATCAGCATTCATAATGCGATTCCGTGTACGTGGTTGAAAGGATCAGCACAAATTTGTTTCGCTTTTATCCCACTTACACTTTTTCTTCGTTTTCTCGTTGACGTTTTTTTGCATTTCGACAGAACTTTGGTATTTTCGTGGCTTTGATATATGATCAATTTGGTAATTATATAGAAGAGAATATATCTTCTCGATTTAAAGGAACGATTTTTCCTATACATACAGAATGTCTATAATATATTTATGGAAGGAATTGATTCTAGAAATCAAAATAAATAGGAAAATGTTGGTTGAAATTTATTTATAGATAATTTAATCTGGGTAGAAAATGGGTTCTCTATTCTATCTTTATCTAATGAAAACTTAAACTGCTTACAATTTAATAAATAAAATTCAACCGATATTTTTATATACCAATTCTTCAAAAATGTCCCATCAAATGTAATCACATTTGAAATATATAAATATATTATAATAATTTTATTTATTCATCATATTTTATTTTACGAATTTCTTCGACAAAATATAGCATGGTCATAATTTCTAAAAACTTATCAATACACTGATGGTACGCTTAAAACACCCAAGGGGTATGATAAATAAAACTAGTCATCCCTCAGGCATTGTAAATCAAATCTAAATTTAAGTTAAATTCTTAAAATATAGTCTTTTTTAATACAAGTTAAATATATAATATTAAAAAATATACTATAACATCCAAAATGTTTTGTATATCTCTCTAAAACTAATAATAATTAAGAATATTGAAGATATACATATATATATATCTTGTTTGTTATACTCTCGGTCAAAGCTCTCTCTGTTCTCGCCCGATAATCTTATTAGTTACACTTCGCCAATATAATAGGTATGATGGCTTAATATACAAGTGAACAAGAGATGGTTGGTTAATGGTGACGAGATTATTACAAGTGAAAAGTCTTGCGTAGCAGATTGATGAACTCGTTCATAACAAAAAATCCTTCTAATATATAATTACTATAAAAGGTGTTAATAAATTTCTTAGAAAATTCTAATAAAAAAATATAAAAAAAAATAAATTTAAAAATAAATTTATTAATTATTTGAGAAAATAAAATTTGTTTTTTAATAGAAAATCAGTTATTATGTTATATTAAATTAATATTATTAATAATATTTTAATATTATTATCAATTATATAAACATTTAATCTATAGTATTAAAATTAATTATTTTAAACAAATAACGAATAACATATTAGCAAATACTGAATAATTTATTTCATGAAGTTACAAATAAATTATTCAAATATGTTCATTTACTTTTGAAAAATGAAATGCTTCGTGAAATGTTTATCATTTCAAAATAAATTATAAATAATTTTAAAAATAATGCAATTTAAAAGCTCCTTAAAATGCTCAAATCTAATTTAATTTCGATCTCTAGAATCAACCCTCCAAAGACATTTCGAATATATTAATATTCTATAGAAAAACATTACTCGGAATTTCAAAATCATTGAAATCATTGAATCGCTATTTTCTACATAATTATCGCCAATTACCAATTAATCTTACCCAACCTTACTTACCAACAATCATGCACATGCTATCAAGGCGTGGTGGCGAACCTTTAAGTGGTGCAACGAGCTTGTCGTCCCGATACGCCATGTTTGCCAGGAACGTTTAATTGCGACTGCCACGAGTGGACTTCACGGCACGAAACGTTCGTTAGAATTTCATTAGTAAGTTCAGATGCGACAGAGTGATTCGCTTTGAAAGGGCTTACACGTATCTCATTCCTATTTACTGCAAATCTTTTTCAATCCTCTTGAGATTCGTACATGTTGGATAATCCATTAAACGCATTGATGAATTAACGATAAACGTAAAAAAAAAAAGAAAGAAAAAGAAAAAAAAACGATAATTGTTCTGTTTCACTTTGATTTGTTGAATGGAATTCAACAAATGTTGTAAGAATTGAAACAAAGTGATGAATGATTGTTCGATTCTTTTTTATATGATTAATTATGAATATAAATTTGATGATAAAAATTGATGATAATGAAGAAAAGATTCTTAGTAATAATTATTCTTCTTTCAGAAGGTTTTCTCTGTAAATGAAGGAGAGTTAATTTTTATTCAAGAGTTTTGTAAATGTGTAAATAGGATATTTGCGTTATCTTTTTTTCTACTAATTGTACGATATATCGATTCTGATAATTATTTTACTGTTCGTAAATGACTTTCAAGCGAATGCATGAATCTTCAATCAATGGAGAAGACTGCTTATTTCGTTGAATTAAATTATTAAAGAATTCTTTCGAAACTTGAGAAAATTATAAATATGTGTACTCATGATAGAGAAGATTCGAGAGAGGCAATAAAGGTAAAGAAGTTTCTTAAGATGAAAATACATAAAGAAGAAGAGAAATAACATAAGAAAAAGCAAAGTGCAATTGCTTTACGAACAACTTTAAAAATATGACGCATTTGTTTTCTCTATACAATATCTATTTCATAAGTCTCGTTCACAAAAAAAAATGTATGACAGAAATTATTTTTTCGATTTACAATTTTACATAACATATGAATTTCTTATTTCTCCAAAGGATAAACTCGTGGCGTGTAGGTAACATAATTGTTCAAATTACAAGATACATTGGTAATTTTATTTATAATACTAGAGGTGAATTTTGATCGAAGTGGTGGTCCACCAGAGATAAATATACGTGTAGGTTTCGGAATTTTAGGTTTCTTCGGTTCTACTCTGTCATATGGATCGGCATAATGAATTGGAAATTTGTCAAAGCAACCTGCGTGGCTTCCGCCTGGTTTCTTTGGGAATGGAACGATAAGACGATTAGGGCCCAAAATTTTAGGCTTGACTTCGTGAGGTCGTACGTATGTAGATCCGATGTGCAAAGCTTTGTAAGGATTTGGCGGGAAATAGTCCATTGGCGCATGTGTAGTTTGAAATACACGATACATTTCTTTAACTGAAAACAAGAATTATCAAGTCACATTTCATGACTTCTAAGATTTCTTCGTAGTTTCAAAAGAAAATATTATCTTTTAAGAAAGAGATACAAACGTGACCTGTTTTCTATTCGCATAAACAATTTTTAATTATCTGAAATTTTCTATTTATGTGAAACATATGTGTGGTAATCAGAGCTGGAGAAAATTTAAAATAAATTATTAAAAATAAAAAAATGTGAAATATTTCTATAAACAAATATATATTTGAAATACTTGCTTTTATAAACTATTTTTCTCGACTCTGGCATTAATATTTAAACAAGACATATTTAAATAAATATGTTGTTCGATTATCAAAGCAAGTAACCCAGCTTTTAAACGAAACATCAACACTTTTAAACAAAAGTGAAATCATTTTTATCTACCGTGACGCGTCACAAAGTGACCGTATATAATTAATTCACGTGCCTAATAATAGAGTAATGAAAATTAACCGAACCACCGGTTTCACTTAATTTTATTTATTTATTTTTTTTTTCAACGTTGCATCACAGCTTTCCCTTTAAATTAGCCTCAGACCGAAGTTTGCTCGCAGCATGGCGTAAAAAAAAGCTCTCGTTTTCTTGCCTTCCTTACGACAAAAATGTAATTAGTTGCGCTCCCAGTTGGGAAAAAACAAAATTTGACCGAAAAAAGAAAAACGGGAACGAGAGTCTCCAATCTTCCGCGTTACGAGGCCCCTTTTATATTACTTTCTTGCACGGTAATATTATCTGTCGCGTCTAGGAAAAGAGTAATGAACAAAAAATGGGATATAAGAAGCGAACTGACGCGGTAAATACAAATATTAAAATATTGCTGACGATATACTTAAAAATAAACTTATGTAGATTTTTATTACGTCATTTGAATTTTCTACATATTGTGAAAATGAGAAATCATTTTTTTTAGAGATAGAAAATTGAAATTTTGTTCGAAATTTTAAGTAAAATTATATGTATTATGAATTGAAATAATAATTACTTGAAAATAAATCGCGTAATATGGGTCTTCCTAAATTTAAATAAACACGCAGTGTAATTTCATTACCTTTAGGTTTCTTCTCTGGTGGATCATAAGGTTCATGAGCATGAGCTGGAAACGGGCTGAGACAAATGTTAGCATATCCTGGACCACCTTTAGGATTGGGTTTGATTCTCACATTTGGTAACTCGGGTCTCGCTTTCTTTGGTTTTATCAACGCGGGGCTGAAGTAAGAGATTTTCTCGAAACACCCATAATAATCACCAGGTGTCGAATGCTTCTTGGCAGGGGCTGATGGCCATATAACACCTTTGACCGGTACAAGCTGCGAAACGGTCGATGTATCAGGTTGGCTTCTTTAGCATAGTGGCTAGAACTGCAAAAGTATATTTCTTCAATTTCGAATTGAAAAATTCTCAGAAAATGTTGGAAATCTAGCTACAGAGAGAAGTGATGTATAAAAATATTAACTTCGTGTTAATTATACATAGAGAAAATTTTTGATTATTATATTAATTTTATTTTTTTTTAATGGAAATCATAATTTTTATCGAATTAATCGATAATTTTCTGCAATATTTAATTTTTATTTGAAATATTTTTTTCCGGAAAATTATATGTAAGATGATGTTACTTTGTTCATCCTTTAAGAATAATTTTTTATATTTTTTTCAGAAAAATCTATTGACCAATACAGTAGTAATAAATAATCTTAAATATTTTCAATTTTTTTAAAACTTAATGTTATAAAAATTCTATTTGAACAAATTAGATCCAAGTATATATCTCAAAACACGTAATTTCATGAACGAATCCATGATAAAACGATCATAAATGAGAATCGTATTGGAAATGTATTATCACATTAATTAGTTCGATTTAATTGTTGTACAATTACCTGTTTTTTCGGGACTTTGCGAAATGGATCGTACAATGCTTCTCCCTCGAAAATTCGCATAAATTTGTCTTCAAAGAGTTTAAGCGGTGGTCCGGGAATCATTTGACGCCCCTTCTCTATACCTTCGCGAAACTTAACAGGAACTCCTTTGTATTTGTCGAAAGGCGTCACGCGTGGTTCGTGAAAATATCCTTGTAGTAAAAAGTAAAATAGTTTAAAAAGTAAAATAAGTGTTTGTATGAGACAGAAAGTCTTCGTTCATCGACAAAAAATTCATCCTTACCAATCCTATCGAGATCGCTTTTTCCAAATTCTTTACCCAAAGGAGGTAGTACGCGTTTTAGTTTAGGCATTGTGATATCTAATAATAATACTTTGATTTCTTTTATTATTTATTTTATTTATTTTATTTTTATATTTAGTATATAACCTGCAATTTTACTTGCCTTGAAATTGAATATCAATTATCTTGGAAAAAGCAACAACTTCAGAAATATACGATGTTACGGTACGGTTTTCATGTGATTTTTATTATTAAATAGAAATCTTTTTTAAATTAATTTCATTTTTTAAATGAATTACACTTCGCTTTTAGATATTTCGTACTTCGCTTTAAATATTCTCTTTGAATATTTTTTCATTTTGTACATTTTTGTAAATTTTTCATAAATGTTCGCATTCGTTCTAGTCATGACACTTAGTCGTTTGACATGCTAGATGAAGTAATTCTGGCAGCTATCCAAATTGTTCACAAAATGATAAATATCTTGAGAATGATTGAATTAATAGGAAATGGAGGGAAAAAATTTTGAGAGAAAAAATTAAGATCTTGTTTTCCCCGAAAGTATCTCTTATGATATGTGAAGACAATATAGATTTCTTATTTTTTTTATTTTAAGAATCACATTTTTAATTTTATTTTGAAAATAAAATTGTTCGTAATTGCTAGTATTTTTTAGTATTTTTTTCAATATTAGAATGGAATAGTTTAAATTCGAATTTTATATATGTAATATTATTGTATATTCAGATTTTTATTTGAACTCTATCATATTTTTCAAGCTTATGATTAAATATTTCTTTAAGCAGTTGTATAAGTTGGCTTTTCAATACATCTACTTGACAAATTCAGCACTTTTTCTCACAGCCAATATTTTATTCATCACGAAATACTAGATTTATGGAGCTACTGGCTTTAGAAAGGTTCAAAGTTTAGCTCGTTTAAAACCCTGTTGTCCTCTTTACCGACATATCGATCAATCGCAGGCCTACCAAAAAAAAAAAAAAGAAAAAAAAGAGATTATTATGTACAACAAATCAAATAAGAATCATTTAAAATAATTTTTTTCATATTCCACTTGTTATTGTTTCTTTTTCTTTCAATTTTATTGTGTTAATAACTTTCAGATAATCTTTAGATTTCTTATTATCAACAAGTTTGATAATGAATTTTCATTTAAAATTCCTCACAAATTCATCGAATTTACAAAATCGTATATATCTTTATTTCCATTCTAGGATATTAGAATCTTTAAATTCCATAATCTCTAAGAAATCTTCTACAATCATGATTCCACGTTTAAACGTCAAATCTTTGCAATTAATATAAATATAATTCAAAAGACGATGATATGGAATCTTTGGAGAATCTTTGCGCCAATTTACAACTAACGTGGAATCGACTTGGGGACAAACAGTCGTTCTTGGGTTTCCTTGGCTTCAGGTAAAACTGAATAGGCAAGGAGGCGTTCTGATGAACGTCTCTAACCAGTCTCTCCACGATAATGAGTTGTTCTTAATGAGTTGATGTTGCCAGACATCTATTCACCGCAGTTACAGTGGGAACATTTCATTACCGCGTTGTTTGGAGAGACCGTTTACCTGCTTGCACATGATTTATCTACATAGACACTGTGACTTGCAACACGAACGATTCTCATAAACATCTTGATTGTTTTCGTTGGTGGAAGTGAAATGATTCTTTGAAAAGAAAGAGTAAGTTAATTAAGTGAGTTTCGTTCGTTTAATTACGTAGTAAAATATTGGACTTTTACTTTTACATTTTAAATTATTGAGTTCATAAAATTCTATTAAAAGAGATCTGAGATTTTTATGATCTGACAATAGGGAATTATTACTTTGTTCAAATATAAAAGAATATGATAATTGTAATAACTGTAAGAAATATGGATATGTTACAATAATTCATGTTTCTTAAAATGATTAATGAAAGTTTTTTCATAGCTAGGTAGAGTAGTTCCAATATAAAAATTATAAATATATTATAATTTATTATATAAAAAAAATTAAATCGTTTCTTCGATTCCTATAATATTCGTTTGACATTATAATCCAAGATAATCCTAACTATGAGAATTCATCTTCAATGATAGCAACGAAAACACTCTATCTTCATTACATCGTTTCAATTACAATCATTTATTTATCACATGCAATATTTCTAATGCTACAATTGCTAACGTAATTTATAAAAAATTAAATTTCTCGATTTCCCAAACATTCACCTGATATCATAATCCAAGACAGCTCAAATTTAACTATCAAAATTCAGACATTTCGGAAAAATATCCTGTCTCGACCCATGTCCCACGACAATTCACAGTCCACTCTGTTCTCTCACACGTGCATGCGTTTTCAGATGTAAGTTCCGGGCAAACAGGTGTAACGAGAAAGCTACATTGGATGTCGGATAAAGCATATGTTTATACCTACATTTAGATGTAGAAATTACTGCATTAAGCGCAAAATGCACAGTATAAAATTGCGCATAGAGAAATGACGATCTGACCTCGCATTATTACATTAAGTTCTATTCGGTAGAATCTTTATGATAAAGCGCACGACATCCAGAAACGAAGTTTTCTTCGAGGCTGAATGTTTTGACGTAAATCCAACCGAGGTTGCATTACGGATTCGCATATAGAGAGCGCTCTATAGGGATTTCTCTGTCTGAGTCAGACTCTGTCCATCTTTAATTTTGTATCATTGAATCGAGATGTCGTGATATTAATTTTTAAACATCGTTGTTGATCAAATTTTATTCGTCCATTTCGCTGATTGTAACGTGGGTGGATGTTCTGTTTTATTTTTGCAATCTGTTTCATCTCAGAATTGAAACTGTTGGTAAATTCGAGTTTATTTCTCTAAAGAAACATTTAAACTGTCTTGGAAACTATAAAATGTGGAGGAAGATTTAAAGCTTGCACAATGCCAATTGTTTCAACTATATCGTCCTTATACGTGGGTTATTTTTCTACTTCTTTCACTTGTAATCGTGTTTCTCTGTATATCTTCAGTGCATAAGCTACGATTTCTAGATTTATTTATTTTTATACGTTTTAAATAATGATCAGTTAATAGAATTCAATAAAAAAATACTTTAGTTTTCTCTTTATTTACAATTTTCCATTACATCAATTTAGATCTAGAATTAATTTAAAATTCTGGAAGATATGTTTTGGTAATTTAATATTATGATTTCTAGGATATCGATTTTTAATTATTCAAATATATAGTTTTTATTGTCTTCTATTTTCTCTTATTAAAATATTCTTAAAATATTCCCTTTCCGTTATCACTATCTAAAAATCATTTTTAATAATTTACCATTACTATCAAAATAAATACACTCTTATAAACTACATCACAATTAATTAAATCCTTGGCATACCTTAACCTATATATATATATATACATTAATTCAAAATGATCTCGATACTTCTTAATAATTCCATATTATTCGAGACACACATATCCTTTCAAACTTTCAAACAATATTTAGTACATATTAACAAAAATAAATCACCTACCCTACATATCTACACTATACATTTCAAGAATATCGAACTCCACACGTATACTCTACACATTCCAGATACGCCTCACGTCTCGCGCAATGATTTATCTCTATCCAACAAAAAAAAAAAAAAAGAAAAAAAACGCGAAAAATCGTATAAAATCCACCGAAAAGTCATCCGATTACGTGACACATCCTCGTAAAGCGCATCGGTGTGCCGCAACGTTGAATCACGATAAAGTTGGCGGAAACCGGGAACTCCGTTACCCATAAAGGTAACATACAATACAACTTTCCTTTTCACCATTCGCTTGCCGCGAATCGTCGAAATCTCGGAATCGGGTACGCGTCGTACCGGCAATTTCCTCCACCCTATCTGCCGCCATATTTTCATGGGATCTCGCGGAACCGGAGCGACAACGACCGCGATAATAACTAAACTTTCGATTGCCGGGGCGAGCCATTAAGATAAGACGGCAAAAGGGAACGACGACCAACCTTTAAGGAGAGATCGAGCCAAGGGAGAGAGGAGAGTATCTTGGCCGAAGGGTGAGACGGAGAAAACTCGAGGAGGAGGAGGAGGAAATCGGCAAATAGTGGAAGATGAGAGAGAGAGAGAGAGAGAGATAGTTGGAGGAGATCGGAAAAGAAGGTGTCGGAAAAAGGAAGCGGAATGAGGCTCTTGAAAGGAAGCCAAGAAGGGTGAGTGGGGGAGAAGAGGACACGGATATATATCCACCTTCCGAGAGATCGATTAAGATTAAACGCCTAGTTGCCGGGCTTAAGTCCGGGATACAATGGAGAAGCTGAGATTGGGTTTCCACGGATTGAAATCAAGGACGTGGCCGTTTAATTTGCAAATGGAAAGGGGTCGCGACCACTCACTGTCGTCCCCGCTTTCTTTCGTTCGGGGCCTGGTGACAGGTGAGCGCTGCGGGTCCGCTCCAATATCCTCCGTGGACTTTGCCTCCTTGTTGTTCCAAGGGAAACGAGTTCTAGTGGAATAACTTTGGAGAGAGTTTGGAGAAGTTTGGTCGGCGCTGATACGAAGTCGGGAGTATTGGAAACGAAGGTGGTAGTCGTGTTTCGCGAGTGAAACGTGCGCGTTTCGGATCGGTTGAGATATATATCTGAAAGGAAAATTAATGTATCGTGTCGATTAATTATGAATTATTCGATTGAGAAGTTTGTCGAGTGTTTGATCGAGTGTAGATTAGATATAGTTATTAGATATAGTTATTAGTTATAGTTCTGTGTCGCAGAAAGGGGTGATTTAATTCTTTCGAGACGGATTTTTCTTCTCAACGATGAATGCAATGTTATATGGTATGGAATGTAGTATAGGTTAGAGCCTAGTTTTCGTAATGGAGTATAGGATTGTATATATCAATAATTCTATATATCTTTATAAAAGTTACTTTAAAACTTAACTTCTTCTGATTATTATTTTTTCTAAAATAGCATCAAATTAATTTATATATTTAATTGTTCTCCTATCATTTTCGCCTTTCTTACAATATTTAAAATATACTTAAG